AAAAAAAAAAAAAAAGCAAGGAAGAACATCCTCGTAGCAGTGAGACCAAATCACAGGGCGATTTTCCATGTAATCGTAAGAAATTGCGAAATGACGGGAAGAATAAAAAAATTAAGAGAAAATTAGCACAACAAGAAATCGGGTTTTCGAAGCAGCATGCCCCGATTGAAGGGGTAATGGAGGTAGCGGCGGCGACATTGGTGGTGGATTCAACTAAGACGATTTGGAGCGTGAGGTTGTGTGGGTGGTTACGTTGGATAAGGGGTCGATGGTTGGTGTGGGGTGGTGGTGGGAGCGGCGATGGTGGCTTTATTTGTGTGGGGTACCTGCGTTAGTAATTCGAGTAGCAAGATCCGCATTTTCGTGGGCTAAAAGAAAAAATAAATAAATTATTTGAGGTGTGAATTGCCGAGAGTGGAGAATTAGTAATTTAGGATTCTTACATTTTTTCTTTTGGGTCTTTTCTTTTATTTTTTATTTTTGAATAGGATTAGCGGCGTTAAAAAAAATAAAGTGTTTTAGCATCTGATGGTATTATGAGTACTAAAGGGGGATCTTTTGGTACCGTCGTTGTTTTGGCAATTTAAGGTTGTGATTGTTCGCATTTGGATTTGAATTATGGTGAATCTTGCTTTGGTAATTTCTGTTTCAGTCGGTTGTGCTCAAGTTCTTCGATCGCCATGGTTATGAATTATTGTGTTGTGAAGTTCTTTACGGTTACACTTTGTTAGAACTTAGATATCAGATAAAGCTCTAACCCAACAGTTTTTTATATGTCTCGGTATATGAACCGTGTATATGCAGTATATGTCAAGTATATGTGAATCTCAGGGATATGTACAGTTATTGTAGAAGGAAGGGGGTTGTATGTATTTCGCATGGATTGAAAATCCATTGTGTCCAAGAGCTTGCCAAATAATTCCTGGGCTACTAAGGCGAGCAAATAAATTCAAAGATGAGGTTCAAATGCTCCAAGCTGATCTTGATGACCAGGAAAAAGAGCAGAAAAAACTATTAGTAAAGGTTGAAAAACTTGAGGAGAACATGAAAGAAAGAAGATCTAGGGAGCAATGTTTGTTTGTGATGCTTATTATTTTATAGATTGTAATTTATTGGTTAATGTAGTGATTTAGGACACTATGTTCAGAATCATTGTGTCCAATGTGATGACTTGTGGTTGGATATGCAATGTAATGTGTAATGAATTATTGGTTAGAATCATTGTGTTGAATGTAATGATTTGTGCTTTTGGATTGTGCTTTTGGATGAATTCTTGGAGTGATTTGTGCTTTTTGGATATACTGTTACTAAAACTAACCAAATACATATGCAAGACTTCAATTCTTGGTTTAGAATTGTGAAAACATACACACAAGACCAATAAAAATGAATGCAAAATAGTAACTTACTAAATAGAAGACCTAACACATTATGATTGCATTGAACATTAATATCCATCCAAAATAAAGTTCATTACATTAACCCTGATTACACCATCATCCCAAAATATCATCATCACAAAACATCATCATCCCAAAAGAACATACATCCAAATCCTTTTAGTTTAATGGTCCAATCCAATTCACAATCAAAACACTATCATCAATAAACAGAACATCACATCGGCTTTTACTTTTTTTCCCATCCACATTCTGATTAACAGAGGATCTTCCCTTTTGATTGGAAAAAGTAGCTCCTTGAAATACACCAGGTGACTTCCAAAGTGTTTTCTTTTGGTTGTTGACTTGTCCAACAGTTGGCTTCTTCACCTGAAGATAGTATGCCAATAGTTAATGAAAAATAAATCCATGCAGGAAGTTAAGTCCCCTAATTACTCTCGATTTTATTTCCAAAAAGCTGAAATGAAACAATTCAAATTTAATACAATACAGGCGATGCTTTTCAAATTGTGCCCAAAAAATATTACCCTATTTAGTAAATTTTATTGTTTAGGCGAGAATTGAAATGTTTTTTACTGATTTTTTTCTTGCTATTAACTTTTTTTTTTTTCAAATTTGGTAAATGTATATTTACTTTTGTCATTTTTTCTCTTAGTACACACTTCCTTCTTAATTTTGACAAGTAGCAATCTTACAAAATTACATTTTTCTCTCATTTTTCTCACCTAAATTAGGATTTACAAATCAGTTTTTGCACTGTCTATTCATTTTTTTTTTTCATCAATTAGTCCATCAAAATTTTTAAATACAAAATTTATTTTAACAATAACTTTTATCATATATTTCTTAACTCAACACCAGTGTATACACGAATATTGTACTAGTACAAGTTACACACAAACACATTTTCTGTTGGACAAAATTTAAATCCGACAAACAAAACAAATTTAAGGTACCAAGTTTTCAAAAATAGAACCGATCATCGAACTAGTAGAGCTAATATTTTAATTTTGTCGATTGGACCAGCAATTGAACCAGTTGAACCAATATTTATTTATTAATAGTTTTAAATATTTATAAAAAAATTTATATACAAAACATCGTTAATTAAACATTTAGATAATTTAATATTCCTTAAATACCTAAATTAGTTGATATAATTGTTTGTACATATCTAAAATATTGAAATATGTACTTTTTAATAGAAAATTTATTTTTAATATTAAACTTTTAAAAAAAATCAAACTAGTCCGACCGACAAGTTTTGATGGGTCCAACAGGTCAAAGACTGGTTCTTTGCGAGGCAGTGTTTGGGTGAGGACCGAACCGGGAGCCGTTCCAATTTTTTAAACCAGGGATACCTCAATTGGGTTAGTTGAAATACGAGATAAATTTTGGTGTATCAAAATTATATGTAAATGAATAATCAATAATCATAATGAAATACCAATGCTCTTAACTTGAAAAACTAAAAAATGATGGACAATTATAGCCCAGATATGCCAAAACTTATTGTTGGGAATGTGGCATGTGCTAGTCATGTAACTCGTTTCTCCTGCCAAATAAATGGATCATTTCATCCTACGCGGCATCCACAAAACAGTGCATTTAAAAAAAAAAAAAAATCAAATAATTTTCTATACTGCACTTCTCATTAAGTTCTTTGATGAGACAGATTTTTACTTGATTTTTATGTTGTTTTTTTTCTAAAATGAGTTGGCAGCAAGGTATGACCTTACGCAAAGTTGGACGAGAAATATTCCCGTGATTGTTACATTTTTGGGAATCCAACGTACACATGTTATTTGAAATCACTAAAATACAGGCATGTACGTTTTAGAACTCGAACAATGTTTGTTAATCTTACCATGATGCTTAAGAGGAGTCGCGGGATTGCAAAAAACCAGTTTGTTTGTCATACTAAGGGCCAGAAAGCTTCCAAATCTGTATCTGCCACAATTATTAGACCGTCAATGCACAATAAGAAAGGGTAATTAATACAGAGCAAATATGAATTTATCATTTATGCACCAACTATACAAAACTACTGAAAATATCAGCAACTGAAATTCCTTGTTCCATCGCACTTTGAGAGATTGGCATCCCTTGGATGCATCCCCAGGGCATTAGCAAACAATCTCTTGGCAGCTCCCATATGTTCATTTCTCAAACAATCATCGCTTCTTTTTATGCTATTCTTTGACCAGCCTTCTTTTGAGGTCTCATATGTCCTGGGAGTAGAGTTTTTCCCCAGCTCGTCTCTACTACATAAGTCCTTCTCATATTCCACGTTCTGGAATTTCAAACCATTTGCTGCTTGTGCGCCATCCTTAGCATCATTTGAACATGGCTCATGTTGTGTCCCCTTGTCTGAATGGCCAAGTGCATGAGTTATCATACGGCGGGCAACCACAGGATCATGTTTTGGCCTCTCCTTCATCATTTTTGTCTCCCTTGCATCAGAAGATAATATTCTTTCCCTTGCAGCAAAATAAGATGTTTCTCTCTCCTCAAATGAAGATTTACTCAAGGCCGTGTTACTCTGGCCTGGGACAGTCGGGAAAAGAAAAAAAATGGTTATCTCATGCTTAAATTGCATAATGATTGGCATCTATGCACAAATTACTAACTTGAGAAGGTATCATATAAATCACAATCTTCGGCTTTAACCTTTGACGTCAGAATACCACAAAGTGAAGGAATAACATATCGAAACTGCTCATGCTTGAAAATGATAATTGAAGAGATAAACTGGAGCGGGAAAGTAAGGTTTAAAATGGAAGAAAATGTTGGAGAAAAACTAAATTAAACCTTACAACTAACTAATGATTTTATACACATACAATCTAGTCTTGCTTTCATGAAAAAAAACACTTGTAAGATCTATATCTCTCCTAATCATTTCAACATACAACCACAAGAAGCAAAAATCAACACAAGTTATGGCCCAAATTATATTTGAAGTGTGACAATTAACAATTGCCATCTCTTGTATTATAATCTTCATTCGCAAAAGAACCAAAACAAATTCTAAACACAATTTATTACTGATAATAAAAGGTTTTCAATACACAAAAGCTAGCCTAGTACTCGTCATTTGCACACAGATCTACTCACTGGTTATTAATGCAGAAAGAATTTATGGTTTTGCTAACCAAATATGATACTTCACCTGGCATAACTTCATTCCATCTCGGTTTGTCAAAAGTCATACTTGGCTGCCTTTCATCAAATTGCAAGACCAAATCACTCACAAGGATGGGTGGCCTGCATTTCGTCCAATATAACAATTTCAATGGTTACAGATTGCATTGTCTTTACCAACAATAACTGTTTCCATCAATGAATTCTCTGACAGAACTTTAAACAAGTAATCAAATCATGAACCACCTTAGCTCCAGTATCAGACTTGAAACCATAATAGTCAACTTGTTGAATTACATAAGATTATAACTATATATCACAAGTAGCAGAATAACAGCCTTAACCCTAGATACTAAATCTCTCCTACAATAGGGACCCTACCTAGTCAAAATCACCACAAATACATTCATTACATTTACATTTTCATCTTTATCATCTCACAAAGTTACACATTTTGTTGGGAGTGATTCCTATGAACAGCTATATATTGAGATTTCCTTGACCCTGGAAATTGTGATCTAGTTCCGGACTTACCCGTGACAACTGATCAATGACTTACTACTGACTCTTTTGAGCTTCAATAGGCATACAAGGCTAGAGCTAGCATTTTCTTTAATACTTCAACAAGAAACCCTCTAGGAAAATCTTTTGCTTTAGGTGTTTGGTTGTCTAAGCATGATTTAAACCCAAACAGATTCAGAATGTAGGAAATTTTACAAAACCAAAAAATTATAAATAAATTGGTCCTAACAAAACTGAAGGTATATGCACTTTAAGAATGGAGACTTCATTTCACCTACATTGACGTCTCTAGGCAACGCTCCAGAACTAAGTGCCTGGATTCTCCTTCACCGACAGACTGATGAGAGAATCTATAATAGATAACTTACAAGTCAAACTCAATATAACAAGTACCAAACTTTATTACCTGTAGTACAAAACAATCAAACAAGAAATATGAACTTGAGAAGCAAAACTACCCAAAGATGTCAGCAAGACGATGCACGAGCAGACGATTATAAGGATTCATTGGTTCCAGCTCAAGCACTCTATTTACACTGCATAAGTAACAAGTACTGAGCTGAATTTACGGATACCAGTGAAGATTAAATATGGATATTTCTACTAATCCGAAAGGTACTTGTACTTGTATCCCATGTAGGTATATTCACATTGATGATAACACTATTGGGCATGAAATTTCACCTAACTTACCTTGCATCTTCCTCAAGAAAATTAACCAACAGCTCTTCCACCGACAAAATGAGATGCTTGCTAGGAAGATTATCTTTAACGAGAGAAGTCAACTCTTCAACCTGAGCACCCATTAATGTAAAATAAATGCATGATGAATGAGAGCGAGCAATCAAAATTTTCAATGTAAGGGCACAAAGTGAGTTCATCTGAAATTTTCGATTCACCCAAAATCATTACGCCCCCAAACACTGTTCCTTTATTGTGGAAAATCCATGTGACCGGGCAACCATTCCAGTACGCAGAACTCAACCTCAGATCATTATAGATTAGAAGACCATATTAAGATTAAAAGAAAGCGACAGAGACAAGTAATATTATTCCTTAATAAAAGTGAAGAAATGCTGAAGTTGAAGAGTATACCATTGAGAACTCAGTGGAAGTCATCTGAGTGAAGGGTTTAACTGCCATCGACGACGGGAATAATACAGATTCCGCCTTCACTCTGAGCAATACCAACTCAAACACTCCAACCCCACAATCTGTTCCTGAAAATGGGGTGCGAGTGTCTGATTTCTTTGATTTAACTCGGTTGTTTAAGCCACACAACTAAATAAGGGAAACAGAGCAAGTAAAGCATATAAAACAAGTAATTAAAACAAATATAGTAGATAGGACATATAAAACTTCTACTAACTCATACTTCAGCATGCAAATACATCAAAACAGGGTTATCAAAACAACACAACTTACGAACAACATTTTAATTTGCTAAAGCTCATATAATACATGTACCTAAATTATTTCATTTTCAGTAAGAAAGCACACACACTTAAAGGCTTAGCAAAGTAGATATAAACTTGGCACAAAAAGATCACAACAAAGCCTCCTTTTTCTCTCAAATCACAAACACAACATAAAGGCCTTATAGCTGATCCTAAAATCTGATATTCAACCTACTTTTCAGCACATAGCAACAGCCTCGAGTTAACACAATCAAGTAAGGCATTTATCTCACAAACCAAGCTCCTCTTTTCTTCTAAATTCAAAATAAATTCTCAAGGCCAAATAAGTTGATCATAAGCAGAACTCCTGGCATTTAAACATAACTCAGCAGCATGATAATAACATAGTAACATGCTCTGCAAATTCAAGACAACCAAGGCCAACAATACATAACATGCTGCTTTTTAACTTCCTTATGCAACTAGAACTTAAACAACAGCATATCATAAAAAGAAAATTCACATAACTCGTAGGATCCGAGTTTCAACAAATAACATCAATTAATCTTACAAAATTTATACACATAATAATCAGTCCCAATAACACAAATATTCCAAGTAATCTCAATGATCCAACACTTCACAAATTCACAAGATCCAATAAATCACCAAACAAGGCTAAAACAAAACAATACACGAGTCCCTTTATCTCTAAAACTTAACCAATCAAGCACATGAAATCTAAGGCTGAAAATTAGTACCTCAATACACGTTTCAACTCAAAACATTCAACATACAAGCAGCATAAATATTAGCATGCTCTCAGCCCAACACAAATACAACTAATCCAAGGCACACCACCTCATTCAAGCACCTTTCCTCAACAAAACTAAAGCATATACATTCATTTAATTATACCCGGCAATTAAGGTATAAAAGGTTCAGCTGCTTTACCTCTCTTCCGGTCAAAGAATAAGGCCGAAAGATGGCTCAGTTGGACAACGGCTACGAACGACGGCTGCTGCGTGTGGATGGTTGCCGGAAAGCGGCTGCTGCGTGCGGGTGGTTGCCGGAAAGCGGCTCTCGGGGCTATTGCTTGAGGGTCTGCCACTCAAGGACGGTCCGCGAGAAAACGGCGATGGAACTCGTGGATCAACAGCTGCAGTGTGAAACGAACGGAAGCAAGTCTGCTGCTCGAGGACACGCACTCCGCGACGGGGTGCTGTTGAGGATGACGGCTGGTCGCTGTTGGAGCGCTGCTGCGTTGCTCGACGAACGGTCACTGGGATGGTGTCTCACCTCTGACTGCTCGGACCTCAGGGGTGTGCGCTGCTCGACGTTGCTGGATTCATTCAGCCGCACGAAGGTCGGAAAACGCGGTCGCTGAGCTGCTTTGCGCGGAGGTCACGGCTGTTGCCGAATAACGGGGCTGAACAGAGCTCGGTCGCCGAGAGCTCGAAATC